CCCCGGTTAATCGTTCCAAGGTTCAGCTGTTCACCGAACTTCTCAATTGGTATGCAAACGTTTCATCACCACACGAGGTGACTTCATCAGTGCGCTGCTGGGTCACACCTAATCCACTGACTTGGTCGTCGATTTGTGATTGATCACCAGAGGCTAGACCTTACCGTGGTGCGATGGTTTGTGTGCCTCCGTGATCCATTGAGTTATGCTGGGTGGTGCATTTTTGCACCTTCAGAGCCACTCATACCAGATTGGTCAATGGTTAGAGGCCAGACAAACTCAGCCTCCTGATCCTCCAGCTTGGGGGTGGGAATGAAGCTGGCTCCTTATTTCTCAAAACGGACTCCTTGTAGCCCAATGCCAAACCCGCTGCCTTGCGGTCAGGTTTTTGAGCCAAAGGCTTTGGGTGAGAACCCTAATTGTTCTCCTGTCTAGGCCTGAGCAACCTGACAGTATCCTGCCCAGGCAATACTATGAATCATTCGTCAAACAGTTTCTTGGTGTTCTGGCCGTCGCAGAGGATAATCAATTGTGCCCTATCTGCTGCATCCAGCAGGGTGGATAGGGGTTGGGATGCTACTGCTCAAGCATTCTCCCTCTTACGCTTTTTCGCTGTTATCGTCCCGTTCCAGCTTCACTTTCCCCCCTCCTGCTTTCAACCCCCCAATTCTAGGCCCTCCTCCACCTTGCTTCAACAGTCGCTTATCCTTTTAGTTTCGACTCATATGTGAACGCGGATCGTCATTCCTGCCCTGTCAACAGGCCCACGTCCAAGGAAGCGGTCAAGCCCGGTTCCTCGGCTTCCATTTGGAGCCCTCGATCCTCCTCCAGATTGGCATGCCTCAATGTTCGCACGTTGCTTCAGATCGGTCAATAGGCAGTACTTGCCCGAAGATTGGAGACCCTCTCTAACGATATCTGCTGCTTATCAGAGACCCGCCTGCAAGACTCGAGCTCTGTGCTCACTCTGCGATCCACTTCAGATGACACTAGCAGTATTTTCTCATGGTGCCTATCCGGTGACGATTCAGCTTCGAGCACCGGCCAAGCCGGTGTTGGTATTACCCTGAGTCCCGTGGCTGAAGCTACTTTATTTGATTGGCTTCCAATCAGTAGCCAGATGTGTGCGGTCCGATTGGCTGGCTCGTTCAAAGCTTCGAAGTCGCGTGTGACTAACAGGTGTCTATTCGTTATCGCTGCCTTTGCACCGGCAAACTTATTGATGACTGGGTAAAAGCCGACTTCTGTCGTCAACTGAACGAGCTCCTTTGCCACAGAAGAAGTTCGGACGCTGTAGTGCTGGCTGGGGATCTGAACGCTCAAGTTGGACAATTATCCACTGATGAGTTGCATCTGGACGGCCAACATGGTGTAGGCTTTCGTAATGATAACCGTGAGCGGTTACTTCATTTGTGTGAGGATGCTCGTTTATTTCTTGCGAGCACTAACTTCCGACACGGCACCCGCCGGAGGGTGACTTGGCGCCCACCAGCCTTGGACGCAGATTAATCACATTGCTATCAATTACCGCTGGAGAGGCTGCATCCAGAACTGTCGCTCGATTTGGAGCACATGTGTGAACACCAACCATGCACTTGTATGTGCTGACCTGCGGATGTGCTTTGGCGGACGTCCACGACGACGTTGTGAGCGCATTGACACCATCCAACTGGCGAAGCCAGCTGTTCTGAATACCTATCAAAGTACGCTGTCATGCGAGTTGAGTAAGCGTTCACTGGGGACAATTGATGGTCACTGGTCACATGTTCGCGAGACCTTACTAGCAGCAGGCAAATCCTCATGTAGTATGTCTAATAGCCAACATGAATATTGGGTCTCTTCGCGGTCTCTGGAACTTATCGATGCTCGCCGGCATATTCCGGCTGGAAGCGAACACAATGAAACTCGCAAATAGTTCCGGACAAAACTCCGTGCTAGCCTGAAGAGAGTCCGCGAATCTTGGTGGTCCCATCGTGCGTCAGAGATGGAAGTGGCCGCTGCCCTTGGTAACCATCGTAAGTTATTCCGTCTGATACGGGAAACGGGCAGCAGGAGACCTGGTGTTAGTGAAACTATACGTGACGAGAGTGGACAGCCTATCCACAATTTGTCAAAACGTTTGGAGCATTGGGCTGAGCATTTTGAAAAGCAATTTAATCGGCTAGAATTGTTCGATTCTTCGCCGGCCGGTGATCGCCATGCTCCGTGGGCTGTCCCTTTGGATCCACCGTCTCGCTCAGAAGTCGAACGTGAGATTGGACTGTTGAAGTTGAACAAAGCCGCGGAACCAGATGATCTACCTCCAGCCCTCTTCATATTCGGGGGACCTGCACTTGTGGATGATGTATACTAGTTACTAGTGAAACTGTGGGAGCATGAAACTGTCCCGACAGACTGGAGCCGCTCCGTCATAGTCCCAATTTTCAAGGGAGGCTCGCGATCGGAATGCAGCAGCCTTAGATGAATCAATCTGATCTCCATCGCCTCCAAATTGCTTTCCTGTGTCATCCTTCACAGACCGACTGGCACTTGTGAAAGCCAGCTTCGTGAAGAGCAAGCCGGATTTCGTCGGGGTCATGGCTGCATTGACCACGTCTTCACCTTGCGTCAGTTGTTGGAGCACCGTCATATATATTGGCTGCCCACCGTTGTCGTGTTCCTCGATATCAAAGGTGCATTCGATTCGGTGAATAGACATGCACTTTGGGACTGTCTACTCAGGAAAGGTATACCTGAGAAATATGTGAATATTACCCGAGCATTATATGCGCGTAGCTCGGGCAGAGTGAGGGCTTACGGCAAGTTGTCGTCGCCCTTTAATATCTCTAGCGGCGTGAGACAAGGATGCCCGCTGTCACCTTTCCTCTTCAACTTCGCTGTTGACGAAGTCATGGAAATCGCGTTCACATAACACGACTTAGAAGGTGTGGAGCTACTCCCAGGAGAACGACTTCTTGACTTAGAGTATGCTGATGATATTGCCCTAATCTGTGATAGCTCACAAACGTGCCAAGCCGCACTGGACAGATTAGCACTAGCTGTCCGTCACTTCGGGCTTTGCTTTGCACCATCGAAGTGCAAAGCGTTCCTCCAAGATTGGTCTGGACCGCCTCCTTCGCTGACCCTTGGTGGGGATCAGCTAGAAGTCGTTCAAAAATTCAACTACCTGGGAAGTTGTATCAGCGCCCGTGGGATTGAAGATGAGATCACGAATCGTATAGCGAAAGCTCGGGGCGCTTTTGTTAACCTTCGCCACTTATGGCGCCGCTGCGACATCACTCTTGCCCTGAAGGTTAGAGTGTACAATGCAGCGGTACGTTCGACCCTACTGTACGGTTGTGAAACCTGGCCGCTCAAAGCAGCGGACCTGAAGAGGCTAGTTACGTTCGACCACCGGTGTCTTCGCAATTGAGCTCACATCTGGTGGGAACACCGCGTGAGCAACGAGCGTGTTCGACGCCTTGTTTACGGCACAGGAAAAGGAAATGAACCGCTCAGCACCGTTATTTCACGCACCAGGCTCCGATGGCTGGGCCACGTGTTACGCATGCCAGCCCACCGACTTCCGCGACATGCGTTGTTTGCGCGCCGGGGTGTGGATGGAAGAAGAGGAGGGGTGGCCAAGCGATGACTTGGTCGAGAGGAATGAAGGCTTTCACTTCTGAGCTGGCCTCGGTTGGAACGTCTCGGCTCCCTGGTTGGGGTCCGAAAGACGATGAACACGTTTGGTTGGATACACTTGCTGATATGGCTAGGATCCGACCTCAGTGGCATTCGTGCTGTGAGTTTCATTGTCCCACCCCATCCTTTTTAGTGTCCCCCTCCAAACACGACCTCACTATTTTGCCTTATATAATTTTGCATAGTAATTTTTATTGATGCACAATAGCCGGCTGGTAGCTTACCGAAACGATGCCCATCCGTTACCGGTAGCTCAGCCGACTTGTACCGGTTTCATTTTTTTTTCTCCCTTTTTCTTCTATGTATTGTGGCACAGTAGCTGAGGTCTTTCCCACCTCTAGCTAACGTGTATATTGATGATGATGAGCAAGTGACTTGAATTAACCTCATCGATCTGTGCCCCGTGACCATCTGCCTACCCAACTTCTCTGATAGACACAGGCGATCCGTGGAATGGTTTTGCCCTGACTGTTACGGCTGTATTGTTGACGGGTCGTTGAGCTGCTCACGACGGCTTTTTTAAGTTGTTTTAATTCTCTACGTCTTAGCGTTTCGTAAACGGGGTCAATCTCGACGTGCATGTTTATCGAGTGCTTCGTCGAGTACTATGCCTTGAGGAACTCTCTTCCTTTTCGTGTCTCTCCTTTTGCTAGGACTATTACGTTGTCCCAATCGAAGCCATGTCCTTCTTCGTTTGTATGTATTGAAACCAGTGAGAGAGCGTAGTGATTTTTACAAGCTCTTATGCTTTTGTATTCTTGTAGACAGTTGTCTTCCTGTCCGGCCCACATACTTCTTATCGTATCTTGTAAATAATATTTCGTCTTTCGTGTGCTTCAGGTCTGGCTTTGGGTTTCAACAGGGTTCTCCTCAATGTGGCGGTTGGTTTGTGAGCCACTATGACCGTGTTGTTTGAATAATCTTACCGTCATCTCGGATATGTTCTTTACATAAGGTTGAACCATCCTCTTTTTTGTCCTTTGAGCAGGTTGAGGTCGTAGCTTTGTTGTTTAGACATCGCCGGACAAAGCTGTGTGGATATCCATTTAGGTGAAATGATCTCTTCTTTCCGCTTCGCCTCAAGAGTGCTGCAATTTGTTTCAATCCTACAAAAGAGTCCGCACGCAGCATATTTTGTGACATTTCTGGTGATTGCGGTAGTAGTTTAGAATCTGGTCGGTGTGTGTTCCTTTCCAGTAAACCGATGTTTGCAACTCTCCGTCAATCGTCCTCGTGAGTAACACATCTGAAAATGGGGACTGGTCTTCTATCTCCGATTCCATCGTAAAATGAATGTCCTCGATGGCGTTATTGCGCAACTCGTATGCAGCCTCTATTTGACTACGTTTCAATATCACGAATGTATCATCAACCTATCGGATCCGCAACTTTGGGTTGATTACGGGCAGTACATCCTCTTCAAGTTTTTGCATTACTATTTCTGCAACGAATCCTGACACAATGGATCCCATCGGGGCTCCTTTCACCTACTCATAGATCTGTTGATCAAAAGCAAAGTAGGTCGCGAGGCATGTGTCAAGTAGCTTGCACAGATTTTCAGTTGTCAGCTTTCCGATTGTTTTCTTACTTTGGTCCAGTCGTTCGATGATTGCTTGCTTTGCGGTCTGTAAATTGACATACGTAAAGAGTGCAGCCACGTCGAGCGGCACCATTATCTCGTCATGTTCTACTCTTATACCTTTGAGCTTCTCCAGAAATTGCTGTGCACTATGTATAGAGTGCTGTGATCCACTTGTTAGGTGCTTGAGACGTTTCCATAACTTTTTTGCTAGGTTATACGTAGGTGTGCCTGGGAGCGATACCATTGGTCTTAGTGGTGCACCGTCTTTATGTATTTTTGGAAGCCCGTATAATTTTGCTATGTTCGGTTCGCGGGCCATCATTCGGTCACGGTCTTCCTTTGTGATCTGGTTCCTTTCCTGGAACAATTTCTACGTTCTTTTTATTCTGTTTGTCATTTGCGTTGTTGGATTGTTTTCGATACCTCGGTAGGTTGTTGTGTCGCTCAGAAGCTGTTTCGCTTTTTCGACATAATCCGTTTTATTCAATATAACTATCACGTGCCCCTTATCCGCAGATACAGTGACAATTGATTCATCAGCTTTCAAGCCTTCTATTGTATCCATTTCCGGTTGAGATCGAGAATCATACTGTATGTTACGTGCTATAACTGGAATAATTGTATATCTTAGCTGCTTATGCGTATAATCGTCAAACCCTCTGGACTGGATTACACTTTCGAATACAGACAGGAAATCTGTAGTCATAGCATCCTTGAAATTGCAGTTGAACCCTTTAGTGAGAACTTGTTTTTCTGCTACGGATAGTGGCCTGTTGGATAGATTTCGGATCTAGTCCTCCTGATTAGCTTCGCTATTGTCGTGAGTCAATTTAAAAAACTTTAATGTCACTTGTTTTCTTACCCTAGTATTCTCCACTCTGCGTTCTATTGCTAAGCTGAGCTGCTCTGTCAACTGTTGTCCTATAACTCCCAGACAACTAGTTCGATGCTCGTTGCTACATCGCTCATATTTTCTGATGCGGTTGTGGGCGTCCGTGATCATGATTCACATCATACGTTTCCCAAATTGTTGTGCAACTGTCCATGCCTGTGGATGGTTAATCGGAGGTCTGTAGCTGACGCTGCGGTGGAGACCGTCATTGCGTAAGCAATCATGAGGAAAAGTTAATTGCTACCATGTGAAGGCATGTCTGCAAGCAAAATCCTCCCAGCGCGAGCAATTCGGAGCGTTTCGCGCCCAGATCGAGGAGGTCAATTCAAAAGTCACTTGCTGATCAATCACAAATCAGCGGATTACCTTTGACCCAGCAGCGCACTGAGGAAGTCACGTCGTGTGGTGATGAAATGTTTGCATACCAATTGCAAAGCTCGGCCTACAGTCGAACCCATGATCATTCTTGTTGTTAGTGCCCTGGATGGCCACGTTCCTCGTCTTTCAGGCTCTAACCTACATCTTTAATCCCGCTTTAAAGTCGATGCACACCGAACAGACAATGATGATCGATTCCCGCAACTGTTTGCTGACTACAATATATTAGCAGCACTACCTTCAAGCCTAAACGTTCACATCGCGTCGCCTGGCGCCCACTGAATTCCCCGGTAACCTGGATCTAAATTGGCCATATTACCATCAACTACAGATGGCGCACATCAGTCCAAGACTATCATCAATTCGGAGCAAGTGCCTGGATTCCGACCATGTTCTAGTGCACGCACCCCCAACACTCACTCTTCCCGCTTCAATGAAGCGTCTAACTTCTAATCTCACTTGTGACTTGAACTCGCAGTCTGCAGTTCAACAATATCATACCAAACTGGCTTACCAATTGTCAGTGACAAACGAAGTTGGTGACTCGAACGGTGACTGGGATCGTCACAAGTGAAACATGCTGCACACCCAACTTGAGACGTTATACCTGTGAATGAATCTCGATCAGTTTGATCGAAGCGCTTAAACAAGTGCCAGTGAGCACTGAGTTTCAGCGTGTCCATAACCCCCTGAAACGACGTCTAGCAAGGAGTCTTCGAATCGACCGGAAGCGTTGTTGGGTGGCAAGGGCCTATGAAGTGGAAAAAGTCTGTGCTATTGGAAGAAACTGAGTGCTATTTCAACTCATCCGGGACAGGGATCTGAGAATTCCATCAGTTAGTGAGATAATAGCTAAAAAAGATTGGTAGTTGATCCATTCTCCTCATCATCGATTAGCCTGTTGGGCGGAACATTTTGAAGAGCAGTTCAGCAGACCTGCTGCGACACTGCCGCTTACCCAATCACCTGAGTCGACGTGCTAAGTAGATGTCAAACCTCCCACTTCAGAAAAGATTCGATATGAGCTTTCCGTGTTGCAGCGAAACAAGGCACGGACGTGTCGACCTTCCTCCATCATTGCTGGAAGATGGAGATGACTCTTTGTTGATTAGATTTGCTTCTCTGTTTAATTCTGTTTGAGACACTGAAGAAGTACCTTCAGACTGGCGACTATCAACTATCGTGCCCATCTTCAAGAGGGGTCAGCGTCCTTTGTGCGAAAATCATTGTGGCATTAGCCTTATTCCATTACCCCAAAACTTTTCACGGGTATCATTCTTCGATGACTCACTGGTCCCCTTGAGAGCTAGTTCACTGAAAATTAGGCTGGCTTTCGTTCTGGTCGTGGTTGCATCGATCACATATTTACTCTTCGTCAAATGTTAGAGCAACGAAACACTTACAGACGAAAGGCCATAGTGGTTTTCCTTGCTTTGAAAGCCGCCTACGACTTTTGAAAGCACCAGCTTGTGGCATGAAAGGCGTACCATCTAAACTTTCCATTCCGGATTCTCTACCGTGACTTCCGACGCCATGTAAGGGTTTAACGGAAACTGTCTTTTGAGTTCTCCACTACAAGCGGGTTCGCCATTGTTGTCCGTTACCTTTTTTCCTCTTTAATTTTGTGATCGTAATAATCGTGAATAACTGAAAACAAGGTGCTGCCCGCCCGAAACCACTTCACACCACGACGCATTTCGACCTAGTTTGATATCATCAGCAGAAACGAAGACTGAGTCTTTCCGACTGCTCATAAAGCAGTCTTTAACTTAGCAGGCCTGGATATCATTTCTGGAGTATATAAGACATCCTCCGCCATGATTATCGACTCGAAAGCTACCGTAGGTGTTGTATCCTGCTATCTGATGACCGGTAGATCGTGTATCTTCACTTAGCCATGTGTCCGTGACCAAGATGATGTGCGAATGGAAAATTGAGCCAATCGTCGAAAGAGTTTGCATTTTATTCAAGAGTAAGCAGACATTAACGAAGATAACGTTGATATTTTGCTTATTGTTTGATTTGTTTTAACTTTACTAAATGTGGAGGTCATGGGGAGGGTGGGCTGACCATGGGGTTGATGCAATGTAATAGGCAGCTTTGAGGCACTTGGCCAAACGTAGTAATTGGTGGGATATACTCCACTGGCTATGTGAGAGTAAGGGTGGTGGTAGCTGTGGGACCACCGTTGACACGAAAAATGTGCTGAAAAGGGGAGTGGTTAAGAGTGGATCCGACTCCAGCTCGGATGGACCAGTACGTGTAACTAGCTGCATTACGCTACTCTGAGTGTTGCTCCTCGTACTAGTGAATGGACTTCCTTCTGTATTCGCAGGTCTATAGGTCGCGCCCAAAATGGAGATAGCAGATATCTTCGGACGGTCGTAAACATAAGAGCGAAAAAACAGCCTACTAAATAACATATTGGACATGGAAAGAATTTATCGAATGGTATTGAGTTCATCAACCAGTACTTTTAAGCCGACTTCCTCGGTAGAACTCAGTCTAACTGCTGTCGAATAAGTGGGAATCCTTTTCGGCAACTATAAGGATTTACAATAGTTGCTTCACATAGAGCTTTTACAGTATTTTGGAGATCAGCAGTGTCAGGGATATTAAATGCTGTAGACGCGTGACAGTCTGTTAGGCTATGTGGAGCATAGAACGATTTTACCAGGCGATTTGGTTTGAGTTGGTCTAGGGCAAAGAGCTTTAGATCGCATCGGAGTGATTGTACGATGTACAGGGTTCCTGAGAATCTGCAAAAACGAGATTTTGAGGAGCTAGACTGAATTATGGTGTATCTCATGATGGCTCCCAATTAGTGACTTGGCCACCAGCCGCGTATCAATTTGACAAGGTTCTACGTCTCTGTGCAAACTCATCTGGGTAGAGGGTCATTTTGTGGACTTGTCTAGGTCAGCCTCATGAGTGCTGATGTTCAACGACTGTGTTACCTAAACCTCCTCAGGCTGAGTTTCCGTTTGTTTTTGTAGACTCTTGCGCTTCGTTTCAGTAATCGAAGATTGTATGGCATTTGCTGCACCTTGCATTGTTATTGTAGAGCTGTTGAGTCTTACTGTACTTATGTATGGGTAGTACTGACTTTGGCTGTTTGACATTTAGTTTAATTAGTTTTACTGGATTTATTGTGTTTTGAAGGATTTGAAAGTGTCCTTGCTTCTTGGTTAGGCGTATCAGCACAGAGGATAGCTGATTCGGTTAGTGCTTCAGTCGGACTAGTTTCCGTGTTATTGTAGAGGAGCTACTCCATCTATTTTGACTTCGCTTTGCCTAGTAATTTCAATTTATGACTGATTGCACTACCCGGGCTGATGTGTAAATCAGGCAAGATATCGGTGCTCGTGGTAATGACCATGTCGCGATCAACTTTCCGAAGGTCATTCGAAGGCGACAATAGTCGACTTCGCCAAAATTCCCTTTACAGGGGGTTATTATCAATCGTTATTCTTAGTGCTTTAAAGATGGTACTCCCTATATGTACACCCTTTCTGGTGATTTCGTTTGCTACCAATGAATCACTAAATTGCAAAAGAATGTGGCAGTTTTTCGCTGATCGTTTTTCGGAGCCTTACTCGTTTACAATGAGTGCCTTCCATACTGCTTGCCTTGAGCAGGATTTTTTGTAATGATACCACGGAAGTTTATCAAGCAAACTGAATACCACTGCATTTTTCTAACATCGTACTCTATCCAACACTTCAGCTGCAACAGCTTCAATAAAGACGTTGTCATGTTTAAGATGATCTCTATTTGGGTTTACCGTCGCGTGCAACAGGACAGTTTAAGACTCCTTTGTATTGTTGTCTCCAAATAAGTGTTTTAAGTCCATCTAACTAATTTTAGATAGACTTGAATTCGGTAAGTGCGTCGGTCAATGAATCATTTCCCAGTCTAGGTGGCTTGGTGAGTTTTGGTGCTTTAGTAGCTGCTGAATTTGTCTGTCGGACATCGTAAACGACAGTTATAGAAGGTCGGCGGTTGAGGAATGATGTCTAGTAGGGATGAATGCTATAGCACCTCACTATATCACCTAATTTGAACGACCGAAAATATTTCAACTGCTGAATACTCAAATAAAAACCGACCGTTATCAGTTTCGCCCTGTCCGGAGCGTTAGATTTCCTCACCGTTGATTGCTATTATTACCGTCACTGACCTTGTGCTCGGATCAAATCCAAGGTCCACCCACTATTAGTTGTGGTTGATGTGCCAAGTCAGATCCTGACACCGAGGCTGTATCCGCATGCTTACGCATGTGCTTACGCTCGATTTATCGATCGGGCCGCGGTGAAGGCCTAATTCGGGTGGGTTTCGTGCGAAATTAATTCAAGGCCTATTTCAAACAATGCGGCAATGGACTCACAGTTGGAAGTTAGTTTTTCCAATAGTTTCCCAGCACAACAACCGATTGAGGTAACTGTTGACTCATTCGAGAGTCCTCAGAGTGCTCTTCCGGTTGATACCAAAGATGACCTTGTTGATCTCGAAGACAAGGTATTTGTGCGCTTGAGCCTCGACATGCAAGCATCAAAACTGTAAACTGACGGAGGATGATGATCCGTCGTGTTCATATCCAAGTAGTTGAGGGCACTAGAAAGCCCTCGTTAGGCTCATCACTGTATCCATTGCATCACAGTGAGATTGTCACATCACGTTTCTGACATTTGACAGCTTTGTTCACTCACGTTTTAAGTCTGACAAACTCATGTTCCTTCTTAGAAGGTTTTTTTACACGGGCCGTTCACAAGGCTAATGTAGACCGTCAGATATGATTTAACAACTTCACTGCATCTTTGTCGTCGAGCTATAACAAAAGATGATCAATGGTGGATGTTTGTGAGTAGTGTAAAGTTCGAAGAAAGTAGAAGCCACGATTAAAATTCACGCACAATAATATGCCTCGACGGGGAGTCGAACCCCGGTCCACGAATTTCCGGTCCGTTGCTCTACCACCTGAGCTACCGAGGGCTGACGATTAGGTGCGTAAATTTTAACACATGTCTTCTGCTTGGTGCGCGACGTGTTGCCAATAAGTTCACAGTACCTGTCCTGATGTTGCAGATTGGCTCACTCACCCGTCACTTCCCAATAGACCGAAGTTCTTGTCCTTCAGACGTCCAATGGGCGATGGTAGATTAATGGTGGATGTTTGTGAGTAGTGTAAAGTTCGAAGAAAGTAGAAGCCACGATTAAAATTCACGCACAATAATATGCCTCGACGGGGAGTCGAACCCCGGTCCACGATGATCACGTTCAAAAATTTTTAACAGAACTGTAGCATTTCGGTGAAATTCCATGGACTCCCTTTAAGTATTCCGTGGATCACACTTTAAGAAACGCTTTTTTAGCTTATACCTGCCATTTGGCTGCTCTAGATCAATGGTTCTCTACCATTTTTGCTTGTTATTCCTAAAACAGGTTCACTAAAAACAATCATCCCCAAAAAGCTTCTAAATGCTAATTATTCCTATGAGTTATTACACTTTTTACCTTAGATTACAGCAAGAGCATACTATTTTTAATTATTTTTTCCATTTAAATAAAAAGAACTCATTTTATTAAATAAAGTGGTGGCGTAGGTTAATGTGTGATGGTTGATGATGTTTAGTTCCACCAATTTCTTCTATCTTGGTTGCGGTTTCAGCTAATGTACGTCCGCAAGTCATGCTCTAAGTTTATTCGCTTCCTTCCATTGGTGCGTGATCCCTGATCAATGATGAACACTGGCTTCTCGTTTGTTTCAACCATTTCTGCCAAGTCTGTCCTACATGGCAACTTCCCACCATTAGTCTGTATCGATGTGTCCTGAACACTAATCGCATGTTTTGTCCCTTCTACCTTGTCAACATTCGCTCACTCCTTTACATGGTCGGCTGACTTATGCTCCCACCTTAATGTGCACTCAGCTCTGTTAATCGACCCAGCGAACAGCTGCCTGGCTCAAAAGAACGATGATCGCGCTAATAGAGACGCCATCTTTACAAGCGCCTGTACGTATTCTAGGTAATAAAATTTAGTACAGAAAATCGTCTAATTCACTGACCACTCACTAATGTCTAATCAATAGTGATTTGGCATTTAGTTAGTTTTGATATCATTAATTTTGTTTGGTGGCAAATTGATGACCCGATCCCCAGACTTATATTTACTATTCGTAAAATTCCATTTTAACTCCTTGGAGATAATTATCCTTAGGTTGAGAACCACGGATCTAAATGAACTAGCTTGTAATTACCTGCTTTAAGCGAAGTAGTTTCATTTCTGACTATTCAGGAGCGCTGTCTGGGTCTCAAAGCATCTCATGATCTTCTGGTTACCGATTGTTCGTCATATCTTGAGATTTTCGCCGAAAAGTACGAAATCCGACTCGGCGACACACACCCGACCATAACAGATAATTCCTATTCCTTGTTGAACGGTAGTCCATGTCCTCGGTCGCCCTAGTCTTCACTTTGGGATCGTCAGCATCTAGCAGCAAAATATGTTTTGTTTTGACTATTCAAAGTCAACCTTGCTTCCAGTAGAGAAGCAATGGTCTGTGGCTAAAGGCTAATCCACAATTTGGTCATTAAAATAGCCTTGACGCATATGGTAGTTTCTCGAATGGGACATGTGTAGTTTCCAGTTACTGTCGCTTGAGAAGGAAAATCTCTTTTTTTAGTGGCAGTATAATGATACTTTGGGAAGCCCATTTTTATGAATTTCCTTGGGCATCTTTATTTTTTATTGGACACCCTTTACACTGCATATATTCACCTACTCTCCCGTTCTAATCTCCACATCACACCACTCAACGCAGCTCTGAATCATCCCTATCCTCATCCCCCTTTCTACAAACACAAGTTTTGTGCATGGACTGCAAGATGAATTTCGATGACAATGCGGCATTTCGACAGCAGGAAATCTTTTCGAAACGCGATTGGGACCAAGAGGACGAACGTGATGCGAGGGCGGCCAAGTCGAATCTGACCTACATTGGCCTGGACGGTAGCATCGGATGTTTGGGTGAGTATCATGCAGTACCCAATCCCAATCTCTTTGGCCTCCATTCTCCTTACTCTTTTGCAATTGACCCATTTGCGTTGTTCTCTTTCACAACACTCACCCTACCTTTCGACTAATTCGTGCAGGCCAGTCGAGCTTCATTCGCATTTTTTACACTTGGATTTATTCTCTCATCGACTCGAATTATACTGGGTAGCGCACGAAATGTCGTACCATTTGTTTTGTTCGTTACGCATGTAATACCATAGATGTAATTTTGAAAATTCGTATTCGTAAACTTCGGTTTATGCAAAATCCGGTATATGTCATGGGAAGTTTGTATAGATTATTTTCATGACGTTAAACGCTATTTTCAGAATGGCGCATAAGAGCAGATTAAGTGTTGAACAGTAGGTGAAAGTTGTAATTTTTTTACAGAAATGAGGAGTTTTGTAGCGACACAATGACGTTTTCGTGCACACTTTCATACAAAATGGGCTCCGTTTAAACGGGCTATTCAGAGATTGTATCGTCAATTTGAGCCAATTGGCTCTGTGGTGGAGAAGGATCGACGGCGCAGACCATGTGTCCGCACCTCTGAAACATGGAAGCAGTTCGCGTTGCTTTGACACGAAGTACTGGCGCATCAACAAGGAGGACGGTTAATGAGTTAGGAATATCTCGTCGGTCCATACAAAGGATTCTGCATCCTGATATTCAAATGTTCCCTTACAAGATAACATTTGTGCATAACTTAACAGCAGAGGACACTCAATGACGACATCAGTTAGCTTCATGGTGAGTGTAAGGGGATCACGTTTTGTACAACACGGGTTTACTGATGAGGCGTATGTTGATTTAAATGGTGAAGTAAATAAGAAAAATGTTCGTTTCTGGACAAGTGAACATCCTCACATTCTGCATGAAAAGTAAAAACTTGTGGAGGTGTCACTGTATTGACAGCAATTTCATCCCAGGGAACCATTGGACACATTTTCTTTGATGATGCTAAACAAAGATCGTTGTAAGGACATGTTGGAAAACAGATTTATTCCAGAACACTTGGCAATAGGTCTCCCATTACAACCTCAATAATTCATGCAAGACGGAGCCCGCCCACACACTACAAATGTTGTTCTTGGTTACCTGAATGACATGTTTGATGGGCGGGTAATGTCACATCGGTTTTCTGAGCGTCACCAAGGTGGGAAACAGTGGCCCCTGCATAGCTCTGACATCAATCCATGTGATTTCTTCTTGTGGGGCTACTTGAAAGATAATGTCTTCGCAAGGAAGCCTGCAAGTGCAGCTCAACTCAGGGCTCTCATCATGCAGTTGTGTCGTCTAATTTCGGAAGACTTTTGCAGGAAGGTTGTGACAAATGTAAAGGTTCGCTTGCAAGAGGTTGTGAAACAAACTGGTGATCACATTGAACACATACTACATTGAACTAAATTTCCATGCTCATACAATTAATTTTGCACTAATTTTGTAATATTTTGTTGATAAATACATGTGTAACGAACAAAACAAATAGTATGACATTTCCTTCACCACCCTGTACTTTCATTTAGGCGTTCTCAGCAGCGCATCACTGGCTTAATCAATGACCCCGACAAAGGGAATAGTGTTCTGCACTCTCACATCACCAACCGCATATATAGGATAAGCGAGATTAACCGGTTACACTCAGCGTTTCCACTTGATTCATGCGATCAACAATGTCTGGCTGATTTGTCTTGAGACACGGTCGGTTTGAAGCCTTTACTTGATGTATCGGTTTTCGGAAAAACATAGACCTCTGAACTTTGAATCCGACGCCGGCCCGTAGCCTAAAGGTAACGAGCCTGCCTTGTAATCTGACGGCGCGGGTTCGAGCCGGCGTAGGAGACCATGTGACCCTCGAAGTATCCTTAGCCCACGTGCGACCGGTGGCGGTTGCGCGGCAGCGAAGCGTCGGTACTACATATCGGTGTACTGCTGTTGCCTTATTTGAATCAGACACATAAATTACTATACATGTTAAGTGGAACCTAGGGCGAACATTCGCTCGCAGTTCATACATCATACAAACCGGCATCTCCCTCTCTCACGGCCACTTGGAGTCCTTTGCTCCTCTTAGACTCTTAGTCCCTTACTTTCTTTGTTCATTCTAGATTCGCACTGGGCTCTCCCATGTCTCGCGCATTTACCACTAACCTAGACTCTTGAATGGTGCGGCGGTCTGTTTCCACCTACTAGCCATTTAGTTGTGCTAACTGAAGGCTCTGGTACCACTCATATCATGATTGTCATTTTGGCAATTGTTGGGCCGCTCCCACCCCTTAATCTTCCAACTTATGTGTTGGCTTCAACGTGGTGCTTTATTTTGTGTTATCGCCAATTTTCTGTCCTATGCTTTAGCTTCCAAGCACAATCACTTGTTCAATAGTCATATTTTTTTCTTAAGTCAGTATGCACACCCTTATAGATCCATAAACTACGGTACTACCGATGCTATGCTATGGGCATCACGCGTTTCCATAGTCGTCACCGTTTACGCCACTTATTACATAATGAAGGCCTGGATACATGCTGATACCGGCCTCTCTCTTGCCTCCACTTAGCAACTTTTCTTGCAGCATTCAGTAACGAAGTTGTTATTGATTTGAGAACTGTTCTGGCACCTTTCCTTGGGCTCCCATCCCCGACAATCTCTATTATCTTACCGCGCCAATTGTTGTTGGCCAAGTTCCGCTGCTATATGTGACGTTCACGTCCACTCCTACTGCATGGCACATGTGTTGATGTTACTGCATCACAGAGACTAGGATCCCAGTTGCTTCATAACGTTGGCAGTACCCTCGTTGCTTGTACGTTACTCAGTATCCACTATCTATTCCTTGCCCCTGGGTTATTTGACCGAAACTTCGTCGATGGATTGCTTCCTTGCTACCTGTCACATATGTGTAGTTCGCTAGACAGCAAACCAATGGATCTCACTAAGTAATAACAGCTCTCACCCGTTCCAAACCGCTGCCCACGTTCCAGCCGAGCGCGGCCCAGATGCTGCTATCGGTGCGTTCCTCAAACTAGTAGTATCCCCGGCCGTCTGATCTTTGCGGCTCACAGATCAGCTATAGTTCCAGCCACCATTTTTATGAACACATGAGCAATTCGTTTGATCTCGTTACAGTCTTAACCGGGTTTTATGTTTGAATTAGGTTCCAGAGACTGCAGCAGCAGTGAACGAGCTTTCTCTGCTCACTCTCTCTGCAGCAGCAAGTGTGCCGATGCTCCACCTTTTTGCTGCATAGTAGCCGGCTATTGTTTTACCGGGAACGATGACCATCCGTTACCGGTAGCTCATCTGGCTTGCATCTGTTGCATGTTTTTTCTTTGTTATGTATTGCGGCACAGTAGCTGAGGTGTTTCCCACCTCTAGCTAACGTGTGTAATGATGATGATGGTACTCCACCTGACAATCTCCATTTGCTAATCAATGCAGCCCTCAGTTGCAGTGCGGCCACATCTTATTTTCATACTTGCGTAATTCTGTAATCCACTGAGTTACACCGCATGACACCGCTCAATGATTAAAGATCAGACAAGCCCATCTTCTGCATCCTAATAGGAAATTGTGATATGGTCGATGGTCCTCTTCCATCAGTCTCAGTCCGCTTGGCTTATAGCACGAGTGCCATGGGCTGCACCTGGGCGGCGGGGCGCAGATGTGGCTCACTTGTTTGCTTTTACCCGTTTCACACTGGATTCTCCCCGGCCAATAACGTACAAACCAGTAGAAATCCACTTACGGCTAATTTTGGTTTTGATTTCATCTGATACGGTCCAGAGAAGATTGCATACGTGGTTCCAAACATTCTAAGACCATGTGTTATGGCCTCGAACAGATCTCAATGAGGTTCTACTGTCACACCACCGCACAAATCCTGTATTGCCAGTCAAACTATGCAGTCAATGCCTGAAGTTGAAAATCGTCCAACCAAATTTTCTCGGCATGAGCAGCCGGAGGGTCTCATCTACCCACAGGATACTGCCATTCATGTTGTTTTCTCCTTCCCTGTCTGTTTCCATTTTTCTTCACGTTATCATCAGGAGTTCACCTCCGACTTCGTCAGCCACACTAACTAAGAAACTAACTCATCTTTCAAACTCAAGGGTACTATTTTACCCTATGTATCCCAAGGAGATCAGACGAAATACTGTTAGCTCGGGTTGAGTGTTCAGTTGCTGTAGTGTCCTTATCGAATTTGGCATTTTGCTGGCAAACGTTTGAGAACTGAGAACTGGTGCGAAGCAGCGAGTAGATGTTGCTCTGTGTAGCTGCATCATTCGTCGTTTTCGGACATGAACTTTTTATTTATCGTTTCGCTCTCTGTACTTTGCCTCTGCAAATTGTTGGTCTAGTAGCATCTTGAATTTAGACACGGTGTTCGCTTCTACTATATGCTGAGGCAGGTCGTTCCAGACATTCACCACTCTGCGTTCGAAACAGAGTTGATGGGCGACCCGCTTCAAATCCGGGACGATAAGTTTATACCAGTGTCCTCGCGTGCAGCTTGGTGTGCGCAGATGAAGTAGTTGTCTCAACATGGGGTAATCACCCAGATGTAATATCCGGTGCGTCATGATGAGGTCAACCCTCAGCCGACGATAAGATAGGGTGTATAACCCTAGATTCTTACATCGGTCTTCGTATGACATACCTCGTAAGTTGGGAATCAGCCTAGTGGCTACATGCTGCACCCGCTCAAGCTTTTCTACTTCGCCCCGGGTGATGGGACAGTATGCGGGAGTGCCGTACTCTAGCATTGGTCGTATTATCGAGACGAAGAGGCGAGTGGCAATCTCTTCGGACCAAGTGCTAAAGCTGCGCCTGAGAGCCCAAAGCATACGAAGGCTGTTTTGGTACAGCCTATTCGTGTGGTCAATGGACTTTAGGTCACAGCGTGAGAGTACACCGAGGTCGCGCACGAAAGGAGCGGGATGCAACGGTTGTCCAGCCACTGTGTACGTTCGGC